CTTCTCAGATTCTTACGTGAGGCAGTTGCCCTTCTGCCCACCCACTTAATTTTCTAGGGAAAGACTTGATCATCCTCTTTCCTTGGTTCAGCAGTGGACAGTCCACATACTGGTTTGAGACAAAGCAATGAACAATCTTGCCATGTCTTGTTTTTCTCATTTCAATTCTCCCTGGAAGAATGGGATTGTAGTTATGGTAAACCATATATTGCTTTTCTGCTTTTGTGAGTTTCAGTAAAGTCTTCCTTTGAGTTTCTTGGAGGTAGAGACTATATCTTATTGATTTTTATTCCTCTAGCTCCTAATTTAATATCTGGTACATTATCTATACACCATAAATATGATATGAATTTGATTCCATAAAAAGTCACTTACGTGATTTGGATGTTTAAAATTATTCAACATGGGCAAGGGCATTCATTTTATATGAAAAGTAAGGCTTAAAGAAAATCATTATCACAAAAGTCAGGGGATCTGTTACCTTTAAGGTGAAGGAACAATCTCCCAAAGGCAAAAGGCACACAGGAGCTTTTTGAAGTGCTGTCAATATTTTATTTCTTGATTTGCATGGTAGGTACCTAAATGCTCAGCTGCTAATTATGATTTACATTTTTATAAGCACTTTTCTGTATGCTTTATAGATTTTATGAAATACATCATACATGTATAAAATAGATTAAGCAAACAGAGATGTGTTTGCACAATTTAAGGGAAATTATAATCCAAACACTGTGTAATCACCAAACCACATGTGTTACTACCAAGCTAAAATGAAAAAGAAAAAACTAAAGGTGACTTAAATTAAAATGTCCCTAGACAAAGTAATTATCCGACTTAACTTCCAATGTCTGTGCACATGATACTTCCTAGTGAGGACAAGAAAGGGGAGTGGCATAGCGACTATGGAAAAAGAGTGTGTCAATAATGGGATTGAAGGACAAGAGGAAATAGTTCTTGGTTCATAGATTTGGGCAGCAAGTATTCTATGTGAGTGATGAAGAGATACGTACTCCACTCGGAAGGATGGCTCCTTTCTCTTCAGAAGGGATAAAAGATGAATGGAAGTCAGACTAGGGAGGGGAGGGTGTTAGATGGTGGTGGTTTTGGTAAACCTGATAATTTCGGGTGAAAAATCAGATCTCCCAGATTAAGATTATGATGCTCTAATAACACTGTAATATTACTTAAAGGAAAAGATGGGGACCTAAGTCTTGGCAAGTGTCACACAAAAATTATTGATATATTGATCATCTTAAAAGGTTACTATGTTTATAAATCGTAACTGTGATGGAGCCACAGATTGGTGGGCAGCTCATTGGTATTACAAACTGACATCGATGAACTATGGTGGCTTGACATTTGTTCCTTTGTTCTTCTCTATGAGTTAACTTATGTGACAGGCTGTGTTTTCAAAGGTCTGAGCTTTAGAATGAATCAGAGTAAACAACTGCCCTGCAGTAATAAAATGCCTACACCTATTTGCTGAATGAATCCTTCTTGGAAGGAGACAGTTCTGAATGGAATGGCTCTGTACTTCGAAATCTAATAATTAAGCACTTTTTCACCAGTGGATCAAGACCCATGGTTATAGGTATTATTATCTCCTATATAGAATATGTTCCATTTTGCCATGCTTAAATTCCTAAGACCAATGGAATGGAAACATAGAATTAACCCGATTGAAGCAGAAAGCATTCTGGAGTAAAAAATCTCTCATTCTCCTGGTCTGTCTTAATGGGAAATCAAATGTGATTTGTGTTGTGTGGAGATGATTACTGATGGGTAATTATTCTAAAATATCTCTTTTCAAATCCTTTATATGGCAATCAAGGAAGAATGTGAGAGGTTAGGCATTACATTAGCAGGGCTATCAGTAACATATAATTTCTTAATTATGCATAAAAATGAATAGCAATACCTACTCAAGGAGTTCTTAAATTTCCTTTGTGAAGTCTGGAGGACACATGGGCCTCCGAGACTTATTAAAGAATATGTGGTTAAAAAGACAGAAGCAAAGATTCTTCTTTCTGATAATTGTGTGACTGAACCTCAGTTTTCTCATCTCTAAAATAGGAATAATGATACTTTTTACTCGGGGTTGTTATGTGAATTGAGTTATGTAATGTCACAAGCTGTTTATTTTTGTGCCTAGCATATAATACAAGACACTCAACAAATGAGAGCCCTTATTATGGCTGTTATTATTAGTAGTAGTGTTACTATTACTACCTCTTGTACTATTACTTTTGGCCAAGGCTTACCTAATTCAGGTAGAAATAAATTTAATTGAAATGAATGTCACTTGGATATTTCATTTTTATTATGAAGTTATTGACACAGTTAAAAGTAACACACATTATTAAGGTACGTTTTAAAACTGTTGTAGGAGAGTCTATCATAATATTTTCCTAAGAGCATCTTCTATTTCACCATGGTAAGTTATTCATCAGTTTCTTTTAGAGTGGCATGTGTTATCTGAATGTGGCAACCGACTTTAAATAAATTAACGTATTTATTTACACATCCCAACACTGCATCCTCTAATTTTGGGGGAAATATGTACATTTAAAAAATCTATTATGATGGCTTGTCAGGAACAGATGAAGAGCTATGAATTGTTACTATTTGTGTTCTCTTTCTTTTTTCTCATGGTAAAAAGAGTACTTTAACACTGTGCATCCTTTCTCAAGGAATTTAAGAAATTACCAAATCGAGCAGTTGGTTGAAGGAGACTTTAAGCTCTCAACTACTCAAGTAGCCAGTGCTACAGATTTCCAGCTTTGCAATCACATTTATCAGCAGTGACAGACCAAAGCAGTTCATTGCCATGGTCTTGTTGCTGTTTGATTGAGGGTGATGAGGAATCTGATAAAAGATGTTTTGTGTAATGAGAATAACACTGTACCCAACATTTCATATAGAAGCAAAGCTGGACTGAGAGTTCAACTCCCCCGGTGAGGCCATTTGGTAAACACCTTCATCTCTGGTGCATCTCATTCCTCCTTCAGCATTTTCACTGCCACTGTCCTAAGACATAAGAAAACTGGAAGATAAAGGAGAGCATGTTACATTTTTTATTGACTCACATGGAGGCAGGAACAGAGATATTCCTAATCAAAGCAATAGATGGTGACTATAGATTGGAAGGTAGGTGAACTCTGGCCCTTAGAAGGAAAGAATCAGCAACTAGAAACTAACAAGCCTGAGCAGAGTCCCAGGCATTGCTCCAAGCCTGAGCCTTCCCATTCACTCTCAGATGTTCCTGCTGTACCCTGCCAAGCCACTAAGTCATTATCATGGGCAGAACTTTGTGTCCCTGGGCCTGGCATGTGGCAAAGGAGAATCAAAGATGGAACTTTGAATGATTTGATCTCAAAGGTGGGAGAGAGAGGAGTTCCTAGTTCAATTTACTCCTACCATTAGGACTCCAGGGATAGTTAGAACTCTAGGGTCCAGGAGTATTGTCAATGAAAAATGAGTGTGCAGATTTACAAACAGGAAACGTAAAGGTAACCTTTTGAAATATGACATTTTGAGAACCTCTTGCGTCTTTTGTGGTTTTTTTTTTTTTTTGGAAGTGCAAAATCTGTTTTTATTTTAAACTTTCATAATCTGAAACTGTAAAGAGGTAAGTGGATGCTGAAGTCTCTCAGCCTTGCAACTTGAGGTTTTTAACAAACTGACTCATCAGGAGATTTGGACCTGTGGTTCAGCTTTGCTTGTATGTGCTTTTGTTGCTGACTTTAATGTTCTTTCAAGTGCACTGGCCTTATCTCTTCTGCTAGTCTGGATGCTATCTGGTATCTCAGATGTTGCTTTTTTAGTGTTAGCCATAGAAGCTAGTATTTTGTTTCTAGTTCCATTTGTTGTTGACACTTTAGTACAGCGTTCATCAACTTCAGTGTGCATCAGAATGGTCCAGTGAGACTGTTACAACAGATTCCTGGATCCTAATTCTAGAGACTGAAATGTGTTAGGTCTAGGATGGAGCCTGACATTCTATATTTTTGACATACCCCTATCCTCCTCCAAGTGATCCTGATATTGCAGGTCTTTGAACTACACTTGCCACTTTGGGTTACATTGTCTTGGAGTGCTGCTGCATTCTACAGTCTTCGTGTTCACTTTGCTCTGGAAGATTCTAGTCTTAGTTATAATCTATTGTTTAGTCTACCAAAGTAGAGATGCACCAGATTGCACTTAAAATCCACTACACAAGTCCTCAAGGCCTCAGTAAAACCCTCTGGAAGCCTTTTGTGTCTGTTATTCTTGGATCTCTAAGCTAACAATCTGAGATGCATGTACCTTGGGATGGTGAATAGACTCACTCTATAGCAGTGGAAGTAGGAGGGACAGGAGATACGTATAAAATACCAAATTTCAGAAATGATTAGTTTTGTTTTTCACAGAACACAAAGGAATCAATTTAAAAGTCTACTTGATCTCATCCCTATAATTTCACTCTGGTGTACAAGGAAAGTAATACTCACTGCCGGAAAGGAGATGTAACATGGCTAAATTAAAGCTATGTATAATCCAAAAATCTTTTAGATCTGGCTTGAAATTCAACCATACCCTCACCTAGTCACAGCCCCATTGTGGGCCTGGCTCTGGGAGATTTCTAAACATAGTGAGGCATTTGTGGAACAGGGGTAAGATATGGGAAGGCAGGGTGGGTATGGGAGTCAGGCAAGCTTAGCTTCTCTGACCCTCTGTTTTCTCATCTGGCAGATAAAAAATGTTATATATAGAAGGTTCTTACAAGACTGTTATTCATACACAGGTTCTTAAAGAACCTCAAAGAGTTCTTTTAAGCATTGCATGTAAATATGTGTAGAAACAGTATAAAATCTAGAACATCATAATGCCCAGTTAATATTAGTTTTTTAGTGCTTTCTGCCTGTAAAGTTGGAAAAACATGGTAACTGAAGAAAGAAAGGATTATTAAACATTGCAAAGTGCTTAATCTCCTGGCACATAATTTATTCTATTTTTTAAAGGTTACTGATAGCTCCAAAGACTGGCCTAGAAACTGGCAAGCACTTTACAAGTTACTGGCAACAGAAAATCTAAAAAATGGCATCAGATTTTCAAAGTAGAAGGGACATGTCTTGGATGTGAAAGATAAAAGGTATAATATGGATGGAAAATATTTATATAAAGTCTTCAGTATTTGACAATTGTCCTTAGGAGCTCCTAAAATTTCAAAGTAAGGTGCAAATTATATGTAATTGAAGGGAATCTGACATAATACAGCATATGGAAAGGCAATGGAATTGGAAGTTGGGTTTTAATTCCCATTCTACCCTTAACCAGCCTTGCGATCTTGGTGAAGTCACTTATTACCAGTACACACACACACACACACACACACACACACACACACACACACACTCCAGGAAGACCAGCTAAGTGACTTACACCCCAGAAATATTATCCTTTGTTCAAAGTCATCAAGGATATACTTTGGATGATAAATATTGCCATGAAAAAAAATGCTTCAAAGACAAAATATGAGGGAAATAAAGTTTGCTATTGGGATGCTGATCTTTACATGACTGTAGTCTGTAGCTCTGTAGACAGATTTTTTTCTGAAAATCTTTCCTTCTTAACTTATTCCCAGGTTGCTCTGCTCACAGGAGGACATTAGGAGGAGAGTGGATCACTTAATCTTTCATCAAGGTAAGATCTCTTCTATTTGTGCTATGAAAATGGGTCCACATCAGACTGTTCACTGTAGGCAGTGCCTACTGCGTAGAAAGAGCTCAATAAATATTGTAAACTGAATGAGGAAATGGATGAATGGAAAACAATTCAATCCCAAGAAGGTTACCCCAGAGAGCCTATACAAATCAAATTGTAAAAATTTTCACCTTGCCTGATTCTGTGTGGACACAGCCTCAATTTCCCCAGGGCCTGAAGAATAATTACAATGATCATTCATGTCTCCATGTCGAAATAAGGCATAACATTCAAACTTTCCCAAGGTATATTATTGCACACACTTCATTTTGGAAAGGTTGATATAGTAAATTAGCAGCTCCACCACAAGGCTAATGAGGCTAATGAGAGGTATCGGTAAAATTGCAGCCATAGAAAATAAGATGGCCTTTCCCATCATGAGAATCAAAAATGTATAGCAGAAAGCCATGTATGGAAACACATTCCACAACAAGCAGACTCTATCATAATACTTTTTTCAAAAGTGTTTTCTCTCTCTCTTCTTGTATTAATTATTCAGTATTTTGTCTTTAAAAATAGCACTAAGTGCAAATTATGTGCATGATATTATGATAAATAGTGTGGGTGACAGATAACACATAAGTCAGTTTCTACCTACAAGAACTGCACAGCAAGTTGAGGACATAAACATATGCACACAAATCTACATGTGAAATGTCTGATGGTTCCTATACTAAGTAGGGAGACACCTAATTACTAAGATTTCTGATACCTGCAAGTAAAGAGTCAAGGGCCACCATGTTGAGTAGGGGGAGGTTGGAAAGGTTGAAAGTATGTTATAATAAAAATAAACAAAGTTGAGATGGAACATCTCTGGATATCTGTGGGTTCAAGTCAGTCCAATAATAATGAGGTGGAGAAAGTCATGGGTCATCCACAGAGATGTGGCACTTGTAGTGACTAACAGTAATAATAATAACTGCTAAGTAGAGTAAGAGGAGCACTGGTTTTGGAATCTAACGATATACATTGGAACTCCAGCTCTGTCAATTACCATGCAACTAAACTTGAGCCAAAGTTATGAGCATCAGTTTACCAATCTGTCAATAGTTGATAGGTATCTATCTCAGAGGGATCTTCAAAGGAACCATTGTGGAAATATATAAAATAAGAAACACTTTGCCAATACACAGGGAAAAGATAAAAAAATTACATTTCTATTATATGAATGAAGTTTAGAAGTGGGTACTAAAAGGAAAGCACAGAGACACTGTCTGAATGGTGAGAGGCTCAGATTTGTCTCAAGTGTTTTACTGAACCAGTTCAGACGAGGTTGAGTCAATAGGGTTACCCATCTCCAAGACTGATGTTTGAAAGATAATCAAAAAGTCAAATAATCCTAACACGTATCACTGCCTTGTTTCAGCCTGTATGTCCCACTCAATGTGTTTAGCTTCCATTTGAATAGTTAACCTGCTCAGAGTGGAAAACTTAATTGGATCATTCAGCCCTTGCTATTTTTATTTTTGGATCAATTCAGTTTGGCAGGAGACACCGAGGAAAGTAAGCAAATGACTGCCAAATTTCCACTTATCTTGGTGGAAATATATATACAAATCTTAGCTCTCAATAAAGGTATATCGGCGGGAGGGGGGGGGTCTTGCTAAAGGTGAAGAAGTTTCTAGAAAAAGAGGCAGGCGGTCTCTCAGGTTATCTTATTCTTGGAGAATTTTCATCATGCACAATGCATCTGTATATTTAAGTTACTTCTGCTATAACCAGCAGGCTCTCTGGATTTCATTCCACTTCTGCTTCCTAAATGACTTCTGAACTTGGCTCACACTTTTCTTTACCATCTAATCACAATGACAATAACATCTACCAAACAAGGCATTTTGTTTTACATTTTACAAGGCATTTTCGCGTATTCATTTAAGTCCCCTAAAAACCATGAAAGGTTGACGTTGTTATTTTTACTTTACAAATGAGAGAATAAATTTAGAAAATAGGAAAAGGTAAAAATATAAAGTCAAGAGTGGAAAGAGGAGGGCAGCCTCTTAGAATTAAAAACACCATGGGAAGTAATACTGTCAGATGGAGGTTATATCTCAGTGGCCACCAATTTTTGATAGGCTATGAGGTTGAAGTTTGCACCTTCTTTTGAGAGCCTACAACCAAATGTTCCAAATGTTCATCCTAGCTCAGATTGGCTAATAAGTGCCCAAGTCTCAAATCCTACATCATACTATCTCCTTGTGCCCCCATGCTTGAGATCTCAATCCTCTTATCTAATAACAAGACCCATCTTTGCCAAAACATGCCATTGAGTGCAGGAGGGGCAATGGTATATGGTGGTGCATGACAGAAAATCCTGATTGTATAGCAAATCTATACAAAGAAGAAAAACAAGGGCATGAAGTTGTGTCGGGGAAAAAAAAATGTCAGGATGCCAGGCACTGATTAGATCACAATCTACTTCTGCCTAAATGCATATCCCATGACCAAATATTTTGTGATGCATTCAAGGTTCTTAATAACACTACGTCCATCCACATGGACTTGTTTCTTGAGTTCTTTTCTTCTGATATCTGTCTAAGAAACTAATTATCCTTTGATACACACTAAGGACAGATGAGTTCAGGAAAATGCTGAACAAGTAAGAGAGAAAGCCTGTAAACAATAATTTGATGCTGCCTCTATTTCATTTGCTTTGTATTAGCATCCATGGCGTATATTTATCTTTAAACCAATATTTCTTACCCAGGATATTTAATCCCGATGAGTTTCTTGTCCCTCTGAATTCTTACTTCATTTTTGCCCTTTTTTGTCCTTTAGTTACAGAATAAAACTTCCCACAGATAGGGGAATCTATCCTGTAGATCTTTAGAGCAGAGTTGGTTTGTGCCTTCACATGCAGAAACAAAAACATAACCCACAGAAACTTTTCTAAATATTCTATCTCAAAGTACTCTAACACAAGTAGCTGATTGCCTTCCCCACTTCTCATCATCCTTCCCTTTCCACCCACAGCTTCTCACTGAACTTTATTTCCTCTTCTGAGGTTTCTGCCCACCTTTTTAATGGCAATGGTCTAGAGGTGATTGTTAACTTGAACAACCTAAGGAACCATCCGAGAGTGATGGTAGGAAGGCTTGGCCAACAAAGGAGAAAACCCAAGAGCCCGGAAGCTGTCCGGGTTTAGGGGATTGGAGATTCATCTTCCTCTTTATGTAATGGGGAAAAAAAAGAGAGAGTTGAAAGCTAGATGGGATTATTGGGTATCGTGATGGTTAACATTGAGTGTCAACTTGATTGGATTGAGGGACGCAAAGTATTGTTCCTGGGAATGACTGTGTGGGTGTTGCCAAAGAAAATTAACATTTGACTCAGTGGGCTGGGAAAGGCAGATCCACCCTCAATCTGGGTGGCTAGAATAAAAGCAGACAAAAGAACGTGAAAAGATTAGACTGGTTGAGTTTTTTGGCCTACATCTTTCTCCCATGCTGGATGCTTCCTGCCCTCGAAGATCAGACTCCAAGTTCTGCAGCTTTGGGGCTCGGACTGGCTTCCTTGCTCCTCAGCTTGCAGACAGCCTATTGTAGGACCTCACTCTGTGATCGTGTGAGTCAATACTCCTTAATAAACTCACATTTATATATACAGCTATCCTATTAGTTGTGTTCCTCTAGAGAACTCTAATATAGGTATACAGTGGGACTTGGTGGAAAATGGATCCAGACACTATGGGAGGAAGTGGGTGCAAGGAGCTAGATGAAAATAAGGATATGTGAGGGTGTGAGGGGGCTTCTTCTTAGGCCCTAGTCTAGAAGCTAGAATCTAGCTGGGCATTGAATTGGACAACACAACTCCCTCAAATAATAGGTAGGGAAGTCAGATGAGTGAAAGCATTTTCTCCAGGGGAGAAAAGAGGAAATGCAGAGTATAAGTGTAGGCATGGGCTCAATCAAGAGCAGCACTGCCCCAATAAATAGCCACAAATAGTGGCTGCTGTGGTTTACTTTTATTAACCCTTGTGTTGTTCCAAGTCCAGAAAATATCTTCACAGACACAGTTTCTGATGTGTGGTTCTCTGGTTTCTAGTTCATACTACAATTACACAAAGACAGTAGAGAAAATTACATGATAGGATTTTTTTTTTGTCTCTCTGTGGCAATATGAATTATTCACCTTAAAATTTTCCTTTCTCCACTTAACTTTGGAATGATAGAAAAATGTTGACTTTAAAAAATAAATGGAGAGAAATGAGAGACAAGAACTCCAGAAGCACCTAGTCTTTATTCACTCATGTGTTCTTGTCCCAATTCTACCACATTACAGTGAATGGATGCCTTGGAACTCTTCTTAAAATATCAACATTTATTATTTAACATATTTTCTAAAATGCATGACTCTACTTTGGGCAAATAATTAAATCTTTGATCATTTATGTACTCATGGAGGCCCAGAGGCAATCCTTCTAAATGCCAATTTGTGCATAATACTGTGACAATAAATAAAAGAAATATAGGATTTCAGCTGCAAATGCATGCCTGGTCAGACATGGAGCTTCACTTTGTTTTGTTTTTGTAAAAAATCTTTTGTATATCTTTATTCTCATATTGATTGATTTTTAGGATTCATTTTCTTAAAGCAGAGAAAAATAAATATTGGGAGAGAACTCTACATTGCAGATTTTTAGCTAAGGAAGTTTCATTTATGTCATGCCACTCTGCCATACGTTTTCCACCAAGGTCTCTTCATTACTTCTCTTCACTCAGGGATGCCACTCCTGTTTAGGTCTCATTCTACCTCTTCGGCGAATCCTGCCCAGTCTCCTTGTCTCTTTTGCCTCATCTCACCAACCCCTAATGCAGTCTTCCAGGGCTCGTTCCAAGGACAGTTTTGCTGTTCATACTCATTCCTTATTTGATCTCATCCAGTCCCTTTGCTTTTGAATGGTTCTCAAAATTACATCTCCAGTCCCAACTTTCTGCTAGGCT